ATCGCCTGCTGCCAGACAGTCCAGTTTCTCCCCGCATGAGTCCTGGGTCCCCAGAGACTTCCCGGAACCGGAGTTCAGAGCCGTCGGGAGCTTGTGACTCCCTCCGGATTCAAAAAGACAGCCGCGTCCTCAGGTGCCAGCCCCTTTCCGCGCGCGCGAGCCCTGTACCTCTGCGCTTCTCTTCTGCAGCTTCTCTTGCTCTCAGTGTGCTTTTCTTTCCTTCTAGTTGTAGAATTTACAGTCAGCCAGGCTTCCTGTGGTTCTGGATGATGTCCGTATTGTTTTTCTGAGGTATTAATCAATTGTTGTGAGCGGCATCAACTTCCCGGTGTTTATCTCTGCTGCCATCTTAGTTTCCCATAAAATTATTTTCGTTGCTACTTCATAACTGTAATGTTGCTACTGTTATGAATCGTAATGTAAATACCTGATATGCAGGAAGTTTAGTTGACCCCTGTGAAAGGGTCGTTTGACAGCCAAAGGGGTCATGACCCACAGGTTGAGACCGCTGCTTTAGACTATAGAGGAAATTGAGCCCTTTTTTTAAATGAAGACTATTGAACTACCAAGGAACATATAAAAAGCAAACTTCTCTTTGGAGACACAGAGGGTATTTAGCTTATTTGCTTTTAAAATTGAGAATTAAGAATAGAAAATACAGACTTTGCTAAAACAATAAGGGAAATGAGTTGGGAGGGAAGAGAAAAAGATAAGAACAAGGAAACGGGAGAAGAAGAGAGAGAATAAGGTTAGGGGGAGAAGGAGCAGGTGAAGGAAGCACAAAGAGGGAAGAAGAGTATGGCAGAGGTAGGGGAAAGGAGGAAGCATAGAGAAGGGTAGTGGCAGACAGGCCAGGATTAAGAGTGTGGCTTCAGTGCCGGAGATCTGGATTCTAAATCTACAGAAGTCCTACCTAGTGGTGAAATACTGAAAGGATTCCCCCTGAAATCAGGAAGGAGACTGGGATGGCTACTTCAACTGCTTCTATTTAACTTGGTACTGGAGGTCTGAGCTAGTGGAGTAAGGCAAGAAAAACAAACATAAGGAAAGGAAGACATAAAACTTACTATTCACAGATGACATGATTTGTGTGCACAGAAAAACCCCAAAGTGACTTTAACAAGGTCTCTGGATAGAAGGTCAGTATACAAAAATGAATTGTATTTCTATATGTGAGCACAAATAAAAAGAAATGGAAATTTACAAAATTAGGTTTCCAATAACATTAAAAAGAAAACCAAAAAACTGCAGATGCCTTTCTGGATGGAGGTTCTCAACTCCGCTCTTTCTTCCTGTTCATGAAATGAATAACTTGTCTTAATATTCTGCAGCGTTTCCTCCAGTGTAAACTTAGGGTCACAGCAGCAATAACAACAATAATAGCAGCAGCTAGGTTTATTGAGTACCTGCAATATGCCAGACATTGTTCCAAATGCTTACATGGATTCTTTCTTTTGGCCTTTACAGCAACCTTTTAATGTTTGTTGTGAGAATTAAATGATGAAATGTACGTAAAGCACTCAGCAAATTGCCTTGCATATAATACATTCTTAATAAATTTTAGCAATATAAAAACAATCATTATGTTAGAGAGGTGCATTGACTCAGTTGTTAGTAGAACTAAGCTGCTATTCATTTGGCTTAAGATTTGTAGAATAAACAGTCATGCATTATTGTTATTTAAAACCTTTTTTTAATAGCTCATTAATTTATTTATTTAGTCAGGCACTGCTCATAGGTAGGTCTATGAATGCAGAGGGTAAGCAAGATAGATAAAAATCCATGCCCTGATGGAGTTTCAGTTTGTAGGGGAAGCAGACATTAGTATCAAATGGTGCCACAGACTGTGCTGTTAGAATAAAGTACAAGGATTTATGAGAGCATAAAAGGGGGAGCTGGTATGGGTTATCTCTCCCCTTTGCCTCTACCATCCCCACCTAACAGCCTCGCTCTGCCCTGTCTTTGCTCCTGCAGCACTCCACCTCTGTGAGCATCATGGGCTTTTCCAACACTGTGGAGATGGAGCTGTCATCCACGAGGCTGGCGAAGGCCCTAGAGCCACAGATCCAGAGTGTGAGCAGCCTGACAGCTGCGCCCCTTCAGGCAGTACCAGGCCTGCTGAGTGGCCCCCCACCAACTGGGTCCAGCCTGACAAGCGGACAAAACCAGGCTCTGTCCAGCCTGACAGGCAGTCACCTGCAGACAATGCCCAGCCTCATGCGTGGCACAGCCCGGTCCATGCCCAACCTGATTAGTGAGGCCTCCCAGGCCATCACAAACCGGGCAAGTAATTACTGTCAGGCCGGGCCCAACCTGATGTCTGGTCCCAGCCAGGCCGTGCCAAGCCTGGCGATTTGTCCTCTGCAGAGTACGCCTCCGGCTTCTGACGTGCAACCCGATACTGGAGCCAGTGGCAGTCCTGGCCCTGGCCGAGCTGCAGGGGGCCTGTGCCCTGGCGATGGGGCTGACCCCTCCATGGGGAACACCCTCTGTAAGGTAAGTCCTGGGAAAATGCCATTCAACTATCTCTGCTCATCACGGGGCAAAAGGGTGGCCCCTGAAGGCCTTATCCTGGCTTTCACTTAACAGCTCTGTGACCACTAACAGCAAAAATGTCTGATTTCTTTGATTTTTCTTGGCCTTTTACTTTTGAAAGATGGAAAGTGAAGATTCCACCCATTTCAGTGACTCTTTGGGACAAGATCCCACAGGCCCTGGTCTAGATGTTTCCAAGAACTTGCCTGTCCCCTCAGAACTGGAGGAACCAATTAACCTCTCTGTGAAAAAACCACCTGTGGTCTCAGTGGTCAAAACATCCGTGGCTCTGCAGCAGTACCAGAACCTAAAAGGTGAGACTCAGTGTGAGCAACCTGCTCTTATGCTGGCCACAAACCTGAGCAGATGGGCTCAGCATTTCCAGGGGAGGTGGAGGTAGCAGCCAGGGTCTGGGCCGGAGGGAGCAGTGTTCCTCTCTCAGGCTAACTTCACTTCTCTCCTCCAGAACTGATTTATTGATTCCTGTTCTGTTTCCCTCGCTGTGGCCATGGCTGATTCAGGCATGGCCAAGACTTAGCCTCCTTGTAACATTCCCCATGCAAACGGTTCTGGGAGCCTGAGTTATAGGCAGGGGGTAACTGGAAGAATGCACCCCAGAAAGGCTAGCCTTGGCAGATTATTTAAGGAAAAGAGCGTGTCTGACTTTGGAGTCAGATAGATTTAAGTTAGAAAACGAGCCATGGAAGGACTGTCACCATGAATGATAACCGTGTCTGTAACTGTTGTATGAAAAGTGTGTGGCCAAAGGTATGAGTGGCAGATATGAGTGTGGGTGACAGGATGTGTTGTCATAAATATGTGACAGGTATTTGTCTTTTGCCTTAGAGTATGAGAATGTTGACCAAGGAGCCCTAGAGCTGGATACAAAAGAGAACCAGAGTATCAGGTAAGAGATTCTTGGCCCAAACTCCCC